TCTTGTTCAGTAGAAAGGTTTACAGTAGACAAATTCAACTGTTGAAATATGATGGTATAGTATCACAACAATCAACTTTATCTCATCTTGTTCAATAGAAAGGTTTACAGTAGACAAACACTAACACACAATAATTTCCAACTAAAGATATTAAAAACACACTAAAGATAGATCTGTACACATCAATCCTGTCTCATCTGGTTCAATAAAATTTAAACAATAACCACATTGAGTAGTAGTTACAGTTTGTTTCAAACTCTTTTCAAACAGTAAACAAAAGTACAGTTTATCCCAGGTGTTCATTCTCTAATGCATTTTTAATTTATTATTTGTTCCAAACTGTTTTCCATAAACTGTGAAACTGTAAGGTCTTGCCCCAGTATGTATTCTTTGATGCATTTTTAATGTAGAGTTAATTTGAATTTTTTTTTCATTTACTGTAAAGCATGTAAAGCAGTAAGAGTTCTTACAGTATGTGTTCCTTTATGATATCTTAAATCATCATCTGTTCTAAACTGTTTACTACATACTACACAAGTGTAAGGTTTCACCACAGTATGTATTCGTTCATGTTTTGTTAAACTAGAGTTACTTCTAAATTGTTTTCCACAAACGTCACAACTGTAAGGTTTCTCTCCAGTATGTATTCTTTGATGTATTTTCAATTCTTGATTTGTCCTAAAGTCTTTTCCACAAACATCACAACAATAAGGTTTCTTCCCAGTATGTATTTTTTCATGAATTTTTAATCCGTTAATGGTTTGAAAGTATTTTCCACAAACTCCACAACAGTAAGACTTCTCCCCACTGTGTATTTGTTTGTGTTTTTTTAAGTTACCAGTAGTTCCAAATTGTTTTCCACAAATGTCACAACTGTAAGGTTTGTCTCCAGTATGTATTTTTTTATGTCTCTTTAATTCAGCATTTGTTTTAAAGTCTTTTCCACAAATATCACAACAGTAAGGTTTCTCCTCAGTATGTCGTATTTCATGTCGTTTTAATTCAATACTTGTTCGAAACCGTTTTTCACAAACTGCACAACAATAACGTTTTTCCCCAGTGTGTTTTCTTTGATGTGTTTTTAAGTCACTTGTAGATCTGAAGTATTTTCCACAAACTCTACAACAGTAAGGTTTCTCACCAGTATGTATTCTTTCATGATATGTTTTTCCATTATTTGTCCTAAATTGTTTATCACATATTGCACAATTGTAGGGTTTCTCCCCAGTATGTATTTGTTCATGTTTTTTTAAGCTAGAGTTACTTCTAAGTTGTTTCCCACAAACATCACAAATGTAAAGCTTCTCTCCAGTGTGTATTCGTTGATGTTTTTTTAAATCACAATTTATTCTAAACTCTTTTCCACAAGTTAAACACCTATAAGGTTTCTCTTCAGAATGTATTCGTTCATGTTTTTTTAAGTCTGTACTACGCCTAAATTGCTTTCCACAAATGTTACAACTATAAGGTTTCTCTCCAGTATGTATTCTTTCATGACATTTTAAGAAATGGCTTATTCTAAAGTTTTTTCCACAAGTTTCACAAGTATAAGGTTTCTCTCCAGTATGTATTTGTTCATGGTTTTTCAAACCACTATTAAATCTAAATTGTTTACTACAAATTTCACATCTGTACAGTTTCTTTCCATGTGGTATTCTCTTCTGTTGTTTTACATTAACCAATGTTACACTTTCCTTTCCACATGTTACATAACTGTATGGTTTATCATCACCTTCATGTATATTACATTGTTTTATGTTACTTCCATTTATATTTGTTTTTCTACAAACATCACTGTTTAATTTTGAAGATTTCATAACTTCTTTAAATGGATCTTCTTGTTTTGAGAGATGATAACCATAAAAATGGCTTCCACAACAGATGTTCATACTGGTCTTTATCTCTAAAATATGACAGAATAGATATAATTTTAACCTTCTCACTAGTATATCAATAAACTAGGCATCAAAACATGGCTAATAAATCAAATCTTAATATTACTTGAATTTTAAGTTTTTAATTTTTTAAGTAAATATTTAAAAAAATCCTCAATCTCCACTAGTATGAGAGTTGTGACATTTGTTCTCTAGATCTTCCCTCTTCTTTCAGTTATTTACCACTTGTCTGAGAAGTACAGAATTTTACATAGTAATATTTTTGTTATAATTAGTAATTAAGACAAAGTCTAATTTTTTATAACTTTCAATCTTATTTGTTTATGGAGTCATAAGTTAGAACATCAGAGACATTTGCCACAATAATCTTCATGAAGATACACATCTATATGTGTTATAGTATGGAAGTTATAATTTTTTCTACACTGAAGATCAATTTCCAATAGATACTTACCTCTCCTCACATAAAAACCCTTCCCTATGTTTAGCTGCCCTCTAATAAATCTATTCCTACTTGACTCTCTAACCTTTATACCACCTCAATTTGAGCTGCTCATTTATCACGCATAGCATATGTGACGACCCTCCACCTATAGGAGCATGACACACATTTCTGGAACAGCTGACTCTTTCCGTATTACATTTTGTGTACCTGACTTTTGAGATTAGGCACAACAGAAAAACACCAGAAGTGGGGAGAAGGATGGGAAGTGTGTCAGAAGATATAAGTATGTATTTACAGTGTAGGACAATGATAAATTCTTATAAGATACATACCCCCCACTCACACAAAAGCTAGACTGGTGTAGCATATAAGTAAGAGGCTCTCCATAAAAAAAGCAGGTGTGTGTGGTAACTGAACAAAAACACACATGAGGGGGACCACACCACTTCTGGAACAAGTATGACCTTCAAGAAGAAAGACACTCCTCAACCCCAACCAAGCAGGACCAAACCATGGAAGAAAGACTCTCCTCAACTCCAACCAGGCAGGACCAAAGCAATGGAAGAAAGATTCTCCTCAACTACAACCAGGCAGGACCAAAACATGGAAAAAAAACTTTCTTCAACTACAACCAGGTAGGACCAAACCATGGAAGAAAGACTCTCCTCAACTACAACCAGGTAGGACCAAACCATGGAAGAAAGACTCTCCTCAACTCCAACCAGGCAGGACCAAAGCGATGGAAGAAAGATTCTCCTCAACTACAACCAGGCAGGACCAAACCATGGAAGAAAGACTCTCCTCAACTACAACCAGGTAGGACCAAACCATGGAAGAAAGACTCTCCTCAACTACAACCAGGTAGGACCAAACCATGGAAGAAAGACTCTC